TTCTCTTCTCTTATTTTTAAAGGGCCCCCTGGTGGCACAGTGGGTTAAAGCACTGAGCTGCTGAACTTGTTGACTGAAAGGTTGGTGGTTCAAATTCAGGGAGCGGCATGAGCTCCTGGTGTCAGCTTCTGTCAACCTAGCAGTTCGAAAACATGCAAATGTGAGTAAATCAATAGGTACCGCTCTGGCAGGAAGGTAACGGTGCTCCATGCAGTCATGTTGGCCACATGACCTTGGAGCTGTCTATGGACAACACTGGCTCTTTGGCTTAGAAATCTAGATGAGCACCAACCCTCAGAGTCAGACACTTAATGTCAGGGAAAACCTTTACCTTTACCTTTTTTAAAATTCCCCATTATCATTATTTAAGGGCACAAATAATAACATCAGTATTCTGTTTAAGTTTAAGAGGAAACTGTATTTTTGCCAGTTTATTGCAGAAAATGAGAGAAGGCTGCAGACAGCCATCATCCCTTTTTAGACATACTAATTTTCTTATGTCATTTTCAAAGACAACAAAACAAGAAAGGATTAATGGCATCAACTTTCCATTAAAAATGAGATTAAAAAGTCTATGAAATGGATAAAGGGCTCTTAGTAAGTTTTATATTGTATCTATGCGATATCCATAAGATTACTGAGACTCTTAAATTATTGTGGGGTTTTTTTAAAAAAAAAATCCCAGTTTTATCAAACATTGGGTGCACCTGTTGTACACTGCCTTGGAGTGAGATAGGGAGGGATAGGAATACAGTAAATAGAAATAGATGTAATAAAACACTCATTTTGAAGTAAACATTTTAACAGATTTTATTGCAATGGTTTCTGATTTTTAATTTGAATTGTGTGGATTAATATGTACCTACAAAATCTAAAATGCTTGAATCTGCAAAAGATACACAGCATAATAAATTATTATCGTTAAAATCTCAGGCTCCCTCCCACTTGTACACAACAGTTTATTTTAGGCACTGGGCTCATTCCTGCGACAGTGTTGAATTCCAGATCATTCCCAGAATGGGTTTGAATGCTAGCCTCCTGGCTGGGGTAGAGGTGGCAAGAAGACCTGACTGTCAAGTCAAGTCAAGTCAAGTCAACTTTATTACGGTCAATGACCAGCTAATGAGAAGAGCGACACAGTCCCACACAAACACATCATGTCTAACCTGACTGTCCAGTGGTGCCAAACCTGGTTTGTTGCTGCTGGACGGCCACCCGTTCCGCTCCCATTCTTGTCATAGTGGTCGCCACCAGGCACAACACAGTGTTCATTGCTTGTCTCCTGGACTGACATCATCTGAGGCTCTAGTGATGACAGAGGAGGGACAGGTAGAATTGTCCTCTCCTTTTTTCAATCTCCCCTGAGCTGCAGCCAGTGTCACTGCAGGCGATGAACAACAGGTCATGTTGCGCCTGGTAGCTGCTATGACAAGAACAGGAGGGATGATGAGTGTCATTCCATGTCCCCAAGCTGCTCAAGCAATAATGTGTGACTATGTAAACAGTTGCAGCCAGCTCCTTCTTGGAACTGGCCCAACTGCCTACATGGACTCTATATCGCAGTTTGCGCCAGATTCTCAGGAAAAATTTGGAGCGATTCACAACTTTTTTAAAAAAAATGTAGCTCAAAGCTGTATTAACCTGAATCAGATCCATGCATCATACAGTCACCCCAGAGCTAATTCTTCCTCCCCTCTTTGGAATAAAGAGAAGGCTTAGATGTACCCACAGTCGTGGGTTTACAATTATTCATTGGAACAATTTGTTCTGTTAGTTTTCCCTTGGGATGCCTCAGTTGTCTACTTCTAAAAACAAGTAGATATTCAAAGGAACTTCCACCTGAAGAAAGAAGAAAATTCAGCCTAGCATCCTAATGGACCTATACAAAGGTGGGAGGGTTTTTTGGGATGGGGGTCTATTGGCCTTTTGTTCTCTAGCATGCCTCCATATTGTACTAGAATCATAGAAATGGAATGTAGGAATCTCACAAGTGATTTAGCAAAGTCACTGGAGAAAAGCTGCTGCACAAAATGTATTGTATATCTATTCCAATAGGAGGCTCCTGTAGTGCAATGGGTTAAACCCTTGTGCTGACAGGACTGCTGATCAAAAGGTCAGCAGTTCAAATCCGGGGAATGGGGTGAGCTCCCATATGTCAGCTCCAACTTCCCATGTGGGGATGTGAGAGAAGCCTCCCACAGGATGGTTATTTATTTTTTATTTATTTATTGTGTCAGGGGCAACCAGACAATTGTATTACATTTCTAACAGAACAAAACAAACAAACAGACAAAACACAAAGTTTGCAAGCTTGGTAAAACATCTGGGTGTCCCCTGGGTAACATTCTTGATAACTTTTCATGCCACTGGATTATAGTAACACACAACAAAGTATTGTGAAGGATGTCCCGTTGTGCAATGGGGGCTCCCATTGTGTGCTGAAAAACATTATACATTGCTTTTAAACAAAGGCTGGATAGCCATCTCTCATAGGTGCTTTGAATGTGATTTTCCTGCTTCTTGACAGGGGGTTGGACTGGATGGCCTACAAGGTCTTCTCCAACTCTATGATGCTATTATTCTGTTAGGATATTTTGTGCACTGGAACATGTTGCATATCAGGGGCTGTTGTGCATTTGGCACCATTATGAAATTGCCACACTCTTGGTTCTGTTTGTACAATGTCCCGATAGTGTAGCTACACCTCTGCTTTCTTTCTGAGAATATAAAGTTAGTGTAGTGATTTAAATTATAGGCTGCTGGCTAATTTCATTTTAATTTTGTTATCTTCAAATTTGTGATTGTATTTTGTTTTAGCCTGGTTGTAAGTTGCCTTGGGTCCCAGGTTGGGAGAATGGAAGGATATTAGTTAAAAGATTAGTTAAATTGAAATTTTGTTTTCATCTTTACTACAAAAAAGAGTGGTCAGCATAGCAGGCCTAATCTAGTAAAAGTTCTGAGCAAAGCTGCAATCATAAAAACTCAGAAAGCATGCTTTAAGATGGAAGTGGGTCTCTACATTTGAATAAGCATGCCTAGGGCCATAGAGCGAATCCTTTAACATTTATGGAATATATATATTTAATTCTCCATGTTTGTACAGTATTTCAGTGGCAACTATTTGCTGGATTATACAGTGATTTAAACTGTATAATGTACAGTGATTTAAAAATTACTTGTGCGATTGCAACCTGCTTGCACAGGGCTACTGTTGCAGACTTCCAAGTGTGCTTCAACTGAAATTTTATTTTGATGGAATTTGATTTATGGCTGTTAACTCTGGGGGATTTGGAAATGAAATGGTGACTTTGAAAGAAAGGGGCAAAATCAATAGCCATTAAGTGAATGAGAACATTTTAATGTATGGAGCAACATGAGTTAAGATACCTTTATCACCAACCTCAGATATTTGCTTTTGGTCAAACAGAGGAGCCAAAGAAAGACAGAAATATCCATCATTTTGGACTGTGCTAAATGAATGCAAAACCAAGAACAATTCACAGCCAAAGGAACAATTTGGTGCAATAGAACTTAAATGCACAAACACTCTCACACATATATATCAATTTACTTATCTCCTGTTTACAGAAGCAGAGATAATGCAAACAATATATACACATGAAAGAAACAGAAAGTAGGATAAACCATGATCCTTTCCCTTCTATGTATGGACAGCACAACAGCATGCATATAAGATCATCACTGGATTCCACCACAGCATTGCTCCTTCTGCACCCCATTGCTGTGCTACTGCCATAACTGTTGGGCATTCTGCTGCCATTAATGCTCCAAAGCACCAGGTAATTTGGGTTGGTTGCATCTCACCTGAAAGCATCAGGGGCATTCATGACCCTAGGTCTAGGTTATCAGGGTTGGTGCCGTGTCAAGTGACTGGAGATGAAGCCACAGAAAGCTGCTGCATTATCTCAGCCCACCAAGAATGGTTAGGAAAAGGGTTGAATGATATAAAGGAGTGGGTTATATTTCTTGATAGAGTCCATGGCCAAAGTGCCGGGCAGGACATTCCCCTGGAAGATGTCTCAGCCAGCCTTTCAAGTGCTGGCTGAACCTCAAGGAGAATTCCATAACATATAGACAGACACTCTCTGCTGCCAACAAAATTATTTCTATTTCTGGAATGTTTTGAACCTTTGTTGCATATATTTCTTTGTACATGTGTTTGCATAGAAGCCATAAAACAATTCTAACAAATTCAGTCATAACAGGATAGAATTACTTTAGGAGCAGTCATTATATGTTCTTGGTGCTTCCTGTGAATCTTGTAAGATCCACAGTATGCATGTGGCATTAACCACGATTTATTATTTATCACTTTCTTAGAAAACATTTACACAATGATTTCTCCCTCCCCAATTCCAGCCAATCTTCACTTCATGATGAGATATCATACTCATTCTTTTCTAGACAGTAATACATTGATTTGCATATGTATTCTGCATTCATACGCAGTACTAATGCTTTTCTGTTGAGCTTATCCAGTGCGGCAGAAGAGTTTGGTGCAGGAAAGCTTGGCATAAAAAAAATAATACATAGGAGAAAATACATATTCAAATGAACACTGTAGTTGAATTCTTACGTTTCAATGCTGTATCCACCTAGGGAGTAAGTCTTCTTGAACTGTGAAGAATGTCTAAGTAAACATGTAGATTCACTGAATGAAAAATTGGGGGCCTGCCATATATCTGGCAGAGCTCCATAAATCGTTTGTAGGCTACATTCACTTTGTTTGTTTCCAACTCTGTGGTTAGATATGAATATTGCATGAAATGAGCACCCAGCACCTTCATGTTTATCTTCCTTATCTCTAACTAACTGTTATTATATAGCACTCTGTTCCCATTTGTATCCTCTACAAAACATCTTACAATTTCACAACACAAGCTGACATTTAAAATCGATTGTTTACAAATTACCTCAATTGCACTTTATTTTAGGCTGTACCTAACAGGGAGGGAAAGAGAGGACAATAGAATACTTACTGCAAGGAAGATTTGTAGAGAACTATGAGCCACTTCTATATACTGGTATTCAAGAACACACCCTGAGACAGTGATGTAGCGATGATCTTCTGGAGCCCAGTCTGGGGCTGGCGTCACCGATGTCACGGTGCAGCCTGGCCCATTCTCCATCCACCATGATCGGTGCATTGAGATGTTGAAAGTCAGAATAAGATCTGTTTCCTATCAAAAATAGGGAAAGAAAATGAATCATGTAAAATCTCTTATAATTCGAGAACACAAGTCATGATCTGTATTATACACACAGACACATATACAGGATGTCCCCCCAAAAATATATATACTTTAACAGCTTCGGTGATTATCTGAAGGCTAAGGAAATACATTTACATTGAAGAATAAATGTTGTAATAATAATTTAATCAGAGTACAAAAACCATTTTAAATTACAATATTATGTAAGGTCTTCCTATTTCATTCCTGTGTAGCAATGCACTGCTCACACTGCCAAAGTACAGAGTTGCAAATTTCACTTGTTTCTCTTGTAATTTGGGACTTACTCTTCAATTGGGATATTTAACCATGTTCAATTGTGTATATATTTTGGAGGGACACCCTGTATATTGTTGTTGTTGTTGAGTGCCTAAAATTCATTTCTTATTCATAGTGACTCAGAGGCAAACCTACCATAGTGTTTTCTTACTAGAATTTATTCAGGGTAGGTTTGCCTCTGCCCTCCTCTGAGGCTGAGAAAGTGTGATTTGCCCAGGGTCAGACAGTGGGTTTCCATGGTTGAGCAGGGATTCAAACCATGGTATCTCAGTGCTCATTCATGCATGTTGTCTGTCTGTCCGTCTCTCTCACACACACTTGCTCATGAAGCTGGAATTAGGATGAACATAGCATTTCACTTGCACTCAGTTCTAAAACTGAATTCAGAATCTGAAATTTGGAATCTAGCAATGAGCATTTCAATTTTCACAATCCTATTTAGTTTCAAAGTGTAATGGCATAATCACTTCCAGGTCTTGACATTTCCCCTTTGACTTCCCCCAAATGTTTATATGCAGCCCTGCACTATGATTTCCCTAACTCTTCAACGGGCAGCACTTATTGCTGAAAGCCATTTCCCAAGATACTGTAGCTGTCTCCTGTATTTTCGCGGACAACAAAGTCTGACAGCAGCAGGTACATTCTGTAGAAAGACATATCTAGAAAAAGAGAATCAGCACATGTGTTCAGTCATGCAAAGAAAAAGGAAAACAAAAGACTTGTCAGAAATGTCATTTCTGAACATAATAATCATTCTCACATATCATCCAGCCTACCGTACTACTACTACTACTGCTGCTGCTGCTGCTGCTGCTGCTACTATCATCATCATTGCCATCATCATCATTGTCATCATCATCATCATCATCATTTATCAAGTGTGTGTATGTGTGTGTGTGTGTGTGTGTGTGTGTGTATGTATGTATGTATATATATATTCTATTTCCATAGATTCTGTATCCACTGATTTGGCCATTCATGGCTTTAAAATATTCCTCCCACCAAAAGAATCCAAAAAGCAAAGTTCATTTTTGCCACTGTATACAAGGAACATCAGTTTACTATGAGAATTGAGAACCCATGGATTCTGGTATGCATGGGGGATTTGGAACCAAACCTTAGCGGATACCAAGGGCAGATTGTATGCAAGCACGTATATTCTTCATTCTGGTGGTGATATACCACTTACATTGGTGAACAGGAGCTGCATTTCGCAAAATGCAGTAAGGTTTGTTACATCTACTGAAAAGTGTTGTGAAAGGTGAGAATTAACCTCAAATGCAACTGGAGCCAGCACCTTGTTTTTGTCCTCATGACACTCTCTATTACCTAATTCCACTGATCAACCGGTTACGTGCAGGTGGAAAGCAAGAGAATTAACTGAATCCATGTTTGGCTTCCTGCAAAATCTAACAAGCAATTGCTGCTGTCAGCTCCACACTAACAAAAATCTCGGAACTACTCATAAGGCAGTATGCACAACTTATGCTCTGCTTATTAGTGATGAAAAAAATGGCAGTACTAAAGGATGAAAGGGAGGCAACTAATTTATCATTGTTCACATCTCTGATGTTTGATAATTTTTCAGAACAGAGCAGCCAGCTACATTACTTAGACAGCACTGTGCATGCCACTATCTGAATGCATTTTCAATGGACTCTTAAAAATATCTACAGTAACAACAAGGGACCTCTCCCTTCTTTCTTGGAGTAGCTGCCGTATGTTTTCTAGCGAACATCTGTGTTTCAGACACTGCTGAGAAAAACAGCTGCCTTGAAGATGTAAAATGTAATAGGACGCGTTGATACATGTTGGGCATGTCAATATTGTAGTCTTCCTAGTATCCATGTTGAGGATGAATTTACAATCCCAGTTCAACAAACAGTTGCTTTCTCTTCGGGACACAGAGATACATCTGTGCAAGTTTTGTTTATTGCCTAGGAACACACAGTGAATCTTCTGTAATTCTTGGTGATATTTGAAATCCCTCTTAATGAAATTTAGTGAGCTGAAGTAGATTTAACATATGGCTCAAGAGGGAATGGTGGAGGAGGGAGAATAGACTATATTGAAAATGAGTATTGTTGGCATTTTTATTATGACAAAAGATCGTTTTGAGATGGGTATATTCCAGAATAAATGCTTGATCGAGCTTATCAGAAGCATTGTTAGCTCGCACAATCTGATGGGGGAGGGGGAATATTGACCAGAATACTGTTAGGCAATTACAAAAGTGTAGTCTTTAGAGTTATGGTCTCATGACTGTTTCATAGTCACAATCCCTACATAGACCCTTTTTTAAGAGATACACAGAAAACATGAAAGTCCCCAAATTCTCACTTTAGCAGGCACCAATCATTGTAATCAACATGGGTCTATTCCTCTGTCAGTTCAGAAGTAATTGGCTGATGGGATGGGATCACTTGAATGGGGTCACTGGGACCATCACCAGGACAAGGAAAGGGGGGGAAACTGTGCCCATCTCATTTCCGTTGGAGCCCCTAGATGGCCATGGAGCTATAAAATAACAGAACAGGGTGCCCATGATTGGCAGGGGCTCACAGGGAGCTCTGTGGCCAGCTAGAAGCAATGATATTGACATGGAATGTGAAGTGACAATCCAGCAGGGATGACACAGTTTTGGCCTAACTAGAGCACGTAGGTTCTAACTTTCTGCTGCAGTGAGTTCAGAAGACTGCATGTCTCTGTGGCCCCCTGACTCTGGAACTCATTGCCTGGAGAGATTAGGAAAGCCCCTACCTTAGAAACCTTTAAAAAGAATCTCAAGACCTGGGTCTGCCGTTGCGCTTTTGGAGAGTAGCCACACAATCTTAAGCTATTGCTCCCCTCAACATTTTTGTCCTAGCAGTACACCACCCCCTTGTATGAAGGTCTGTTTACTACCCTGTTTCTCTATGAGTTCTCCCTTGCAACTAATCTGCTACTTTTATCACACCCTGAGTTTTTAAATCATTTTATTGTACATGTGGCCTGCTCACTGTCATTATGTTTGTTTATTGCTTTCTTATGTTTTTGTGTACATTACTTATTGTATTCATATGTTTTTGTATTTTACTGTGTTGTTGTTTGCATTTCGGTTTTTATTTTATTGTATTTTATTTTATTGTAATCTATTGTTTGGGCTTAGCCTCATGTGAGCCGCCCCAAGTCCCCATTGGGGCAGATGGTGGTGGGGTATAAATAATGTTTATATTATTATTATTATTATTATTATTATTATTCCTTGCCTAGACAATGTAGGGTTTTTTTTGGGGGGGGGGTGCATGTGGCTACTCTAGGGCCAGTTTGGAGCATTTATCAGCCAGTGTAAACTCGTTCTTAATCTCTGCAAAATTTACATGTGGCATTTCTGTACAGAAAATAACACTTTCTAACCATAATATAGCTTTTAATGTACAGAAAATAATATTTATGTGCAGACATATTTTATATACGGAGAAGGCAATTTTCTGCACAAAGGCCAATGTGTGAATTTTGCACAGAATAATTCCTGAACTGTGAAGATTCTGATCAGTACAGTTTTCTCTACATCAATTATTCTGGACACTTCAGAGATACATCTTCAACCATTTTTCTTTTGTAATTGCCAGGATATTTTGGAAAACTCTTTCCATCCCTATATCACAGTCAGCATGTGTTTAAGGGAGATACCAAAAAAGAATTCTGGTTGCCATTTCATCTTGATACCTCCTTATCCTTATAAGGAGGTATCAAGATTTTTAATTAAAATTAGATTTAAAAATGCAAATTGTGAAATGGAATGTGTTTGCATTTATAATAGTGAAAGATAGGCAATTTAGCTCATTATGTTTCTTCTGATATGTCCTAAGACAGATTGGGGATCATGCACCCAACAAAATGTTGTTGGACCAAACTCCCAGGATTCATCTCCATTGTCTATGCTGGCTAGAGCGTTTCTAGCTACACAGTTATCCCAATGGGAGATAAAGCTGCTCATCAGTTTCTGGGGCAGCTTTCTCTCCCAATGATAATAGCTTTGCTGTTGCCCTCCTCTTGCTGCCATTTAAGGGCCCTTCCCGACAGGACAAAAACCCAAGAGGAAGTGGGATTTTAAATCCCACTTTCTCTTGGAATTGAGGTGACACAGCTGGCCTAAACCCCACACTTTTGCTGGGATGGTGTCCAGAAACCCACCCCTGCTGATCTTGTATGAGCATGGTAACTGCCAGCCACCCTCTCCCTTCTCTGTGCAACTTTTAAACACGTGTTTTCTAGCTTTTAACCCGATTCCTCCTGCATTTTGGTTAAACATCGTTTAGCCATCCCCCTTAGAACCTGGTTTAACCTGGGGTTATAATGCATGTGTAGAAGGGCCCTTGGTAAAAAAAATAGCATATACTTCCTCCTATAGATTAAGGCTAATCAATGTAGGCTCCAACAGGTTGCTTAAATTACTCATGCAGGTGCTTCACAGCCCCTAGGATGATAACTATAAAATATTGACTGAATGACCTGAAGAAGACATTGAAGCATTATGTATATTACAATGATGTCTGCTAGAGCTGGGGTAGACCTCCCACTGCACTCTCATCAGGCCTAGACAAGATAGCCAATAGTGAGGAATGATGAGAATTTCAGTTCAACAATATCTAAAAGACTGTATGATTCCCATCTCTGTACCTGAAGAT